CGTAATAGTTAAATAGATAATAGATCTAATAGGCCGAATATTTATTAGAATTTAACTATAAAATAACCTATAGAAAAGAAATAGAAAACGGTCGAGCTAATACCTTTAGTTAAAGAAGTACCTATAATATAAGAGCACTTATAGCGAAAGGATAGCTCTTAGAAATTAACGAAAATAGGAACTACTAGTAACGATAGCTAAATATAATATTTAAAGTATAACCTAATAACTTAATATACTAAAAGATCTTAAAATAAATAAAAGGATATAAGGTATTAAATAAATATAATATAGAATATTTAGAAGTTTTAATATATAAAAATAAAATCTAGATACTACTAGAATTATAAGATAAAGTTATATAAGATATATATAAATATTTAATATATAGATACTAAGGAATCTAAAGAATAATAGAACGGATTAAACGATAATATAACTTCCTATAGCTTAAAGAAGAAGTATAATAAGTTATTAAAGAATATAAACTTTATATATAAAGTAAAGCTAAATAATATAAACTATATAGAGAATTATAACTGCTACTAGTATTAAAGAAACTATAGGATTTAATAGCTTTTAACTATATTATAAAGCTACTACTATTAATAGAACCTATAACTAATATTAAGTATAATAGTATATTTATTATTATTAATAGATTAATAAAGTATAGATACTTTTTACTATATAAAGAAATAAGTAATATAAAAGAGCTAGTATATATATTCCTATAAATAATTATTAGTAATTATAGACTACTAAACGAGATTATCTTTAATAGAGGAAGGATATTTATAGCTAAATTTTAGTAAGCTCTTATAATATAATTAGGGACGAAATATAAGCTTAGTATAGCTTATTACCTATAAATAGATAGATAAATAAAACGACTTAACTAAACGCTTAAATAATATTTATAATACTATATTAGCTATAAATAAAACGATTAAGTTAAATAGCTATTAATAGCGTAACTAGCTTATAATAGCTTAGTTATAAAAATAACTAAGCTCTTACTAATATTCGCTAATTATAGATATAACCTAGAAGTATTTAAGGTTACTCGATAAGGACTATAAGTAAAACGAGCGATACTATAAGTAGATTAGCTATAAAATTTATATAAAGAAATATAATTAGAACTTTAATTTATTAGAGAATAAATATCTACTTACTATAATTTAAAAAGATTATAGGGACTAATCTTTTAAGAGGGAGATATAGTTTACCTTATATAACCAAATATTAAAATAAAATAACTAAGTAATAAATTAGATTTTAAGAAACTTAGACTATTTAAGGTTAAGAAAACTATTTTAAAAGTTAACTATAAACTTTCGCTATTAATAATAATATAGATATACACGATATTTTATATCTTATTATTAAAACTAGCGCTATAAAACGCTAAACTATAGGAAAAAATTAAAGTTAATAATAATTAAGAATATAAAGTAAAATAAATACTAAATATAAGAAAATAAGGTTAGTAATAAGAATACCTTATTAAGTAAAAGAGATATAGACTAAAGGAAAATACCTAGGAACTACTTAAGTACTTAACTTACTATAGTTCTTTACTTTAATAGTTTTATTAGTAAATTCTACCCTAGGTATCGTAAAATCGCCTAACGAACTAATAGCATTCTAATTAATTATATTAAATCTACCTATAGACTAAATATCGACTACCGCTTTAGATTCTTAGCGCTTAGCCTCGTTAAGGTTATTTAAGGAATAAAGGCCCCGATAGACTATCTTAGTACCCTTTATCTTTAGCTAGCGCTTTTAATAGTAAAGCCGCGCTAAATAAGCTAAGGCTTTATTTAGGTCGGCTTAAGCGTTTAATATTTACTCCTTAGTAATTTCTTCTTCTTTATCTAATCGATTAGACTCTAGATTTATTTAGGATACTAGGAAATATATTAGCTATAAATAATAAGTAAGATAATAAAGTTACTTATAGGAGCTAATTACTACGCCTAACGTATTATAGGAACGACCCTACTATATATATTCGGTATACTTAGAAGATTTCTCTAGTATTTTATAGTAAAAGCCGCGCAACGAATAGAAAGAATATAGTATAATATCGAAACTAAGATAATTAATAGACTTAGCTAAACGAATACGCTTAAGGGTCTTATAAGAACGATCCTTTCATACGCGACTAAATATACTATTAGTAGTATATCCTAAGGGATAGAAAGGATAAAACAGGGAATATATATACGCGCGATAAGGGTATATTTATATACGGCGGCTAAGGTAGTAATAGGTCTTATAGATAAGACTAAAAGGAAGGGAGATATTATATTACGACTATAGTTAGCGGGCTATAAGAGAGCTAGCTACGTTTACGTAATAAGGCGGCTTAGAATAATAGTTAGGATAAGAAGTTACTTAGGCTTAGCTTACCTAGAGCGTATATAAGCTAAGTAAGCCTTATATAGATAGATTATTAGTTAGGAGTATAGCTTATAAGTAAGCTATAGTAAGCTATAAAGAGGATTATAGCTAGAACCGTAATCTAAGGATAGTCTCTATAAGTATATATAGCTACCTACCTTTACTCCTTTAGATAGATAGCTCTCTAGCTTTTAATATAGATCTTTATTACGATTCTATCTCTAATTCTAATTACCTAGTTATAGTCTATAGTCTACGACCTCTAACTTATTACTAACGTAATATACTTATTATTGCTTAGACCACGCCCTATTATATCTACTAATATAAACCCCTCGATAGGTTTATCCCTTAGGAATAACACTAGTCGTTATAGGGCAGTAATTATAGTAGGGGAGTAATTATTATATTTCCTTAATTATCCTTCTTTCCTCTATCTAACGCCCCTCTTTATACCTATCTAGCATCTTAATTAATAAAGAAGATCCTACTTAAAGAAGCTATTAATATCCTTTTAACTACTAAGCTTTTTACCGGTTTTTCCCCTCTTTTTTAGCCGTTGCTAGTATATCTATCTTATCTTTCGCTACCTTTATACGAAGCTATCGCTACTTTTACTTCCCCTTATAACCCTACCCTCCTTTCTATACCTAGTGTTTTTAGCTTCCTTAGTCCCTCTTACTAATGGATATCTCTAAGAACTACGAAATTAAGCTACGCTTCGCGATAATAACCTCCCCTTAATACTTAGTTTATACTATTAGCTCGATAAAGGGGTAATTATAGGCGCTAGTAGAAGGGTACGTAACCGACTAAGTGCCCTAGAGTCGGTTTAACTTAATAACTAGACGAAAGGGATATTAGGTTATTTATATACTCGTTTAGCGGCGTTTAGCAATAGCCTTATCGCTATAGTCTATATATTTCCGGCCCTTTAAGCAGCGAAGGTTAACGTAGGTAGGCGTAGCTATATTAGGCCTCTTTATAGCTATAGTAAGGGCAAAGCTATATACTCGTACCGTTGCGTTATAGGCGGCTTAAGCCTCTTAAAGAGAGGGAAAGGTCTAGCTTAAGAGAGACTCTATTATAATAGTAGCTTATAATAAAAAGGGCGATATAAATAGCTTTAATTAATATTATTAGTAACAAATAAATTCTATCTAAGTAGTATATAAGGTAGGCGCGGGGAATATATATACTTAAATTTACGGTATCGGCGCTACGCCTTAACTAGCTATACTACCTACTTTTTCTATATACTAAGTAGCTAGAGCTATATACTAGTTAGTTAGGGCCTATATTAAATTATTAAATAACTAGCGGGGGTGCGGGCTAGCTTATATATAGGCGGCAGCGTATAGCTAGGCGCTAGGAGACTTATAGTTATAGTTACGGCTGCTACTACTAATACTAATACTAATACTAATAATAATAGTATAGTTAAGAGGAAAGAGCGATAGAGGCGCGCTAGTAAGTTATTTACCTCCTAGCCGCGTACTAAGGTACGGGATTAATATTATAAGGGACCGCTTATAGATAGAGGGGCGGGGACCTTATATAAGGGTATTTACCCTTAGTATAAGTCTAGGCATTAGCCTAGACCTTAGCCGATAGCGTTATAGGGTAAGATAGGCTATATATATAAACGCGTATTTAGTAGCGGTAAGCGCGGTATATAGTTAGATCCTATATAGCTTATTATTATAATATAACGGAAGGCACCTATAGTATAACCCTTTACCTACCTTATAATACTATATAAGTATATTAATAGTTATAATATTACTTAAAGTAGCGCGGTATTATACTAAATAAAAGCTTTTAATATATAACGACTAGTATTATTCTTAAGGGATAAACCTATTAAGGGGTTTATATTAATAGATATAATAAAGCGTAGTTTAAGTAATAATAAGTATATTATATTAATAATAAGTTAGAGGTTATAGACTATAGACTATAACTAAGTAATTAAGTAATTAGAATTAAAGATAAGATTATAATAGAGATCGTAATAATTATATTAAAAGCTAGAGAGCTATCTATCTAAAGGAGTAAAAATAGGTAGCTATATATACCTATAAAGACTATCCTTAGATTATAGGCCTAGCTATAATCCCTAACGTTAGATCGTATAGAGCGTAGTAATCTCGTTAATCCTAGATTACTTAGATCTCTGCGATCCCCTCGATCCTATATCTATTAGATAGTCGTGCCGACTATTTATCCGTTAGACCGTGTCACGTGCTTGACGCGGTCGACCGTTAGCGGCCCAGTGGCCGTGGTCGTAACAGCTCGGTTATTATCTCGAGTGTGTTCAACGGCAAACCAGGTCGACAGCTTCAGACTAGATAGTATATAATCGACTTGACCTAGTGGATCATGTCCCCGTGCTCCCGCAATGGGATATGGAAAGACTCACCAGCCGTGAGGTCTAACGAATCTGTTTACTTCATCCAACGGGTCCATGATGAGATGACATGGAGCCAAGAAATGTGATGTACAAGACACTATGGCCAGTAGGCACTAGAATGAAGTGCAAAATCCAAGATTTCAAGTTGGTTAAGGTAAATCTAATATATAGCGAGTTACTCTGACGGTGCTTTGAAGCCTTGCCGACCGACATCGTCCTTCTCCAGTGAATTCTCCCTAGTCAGCACCGAGAGCAGCGCTGCCAAACCTGAAAAGGCAGCCAGTACTACCCAGATCGTCTGGAAAGCATCCTCGTACGCCCCTGTCACGACACGCATAAAATCCCCTGACACGTGAACCTCCCTCAGTCGTGGTATGAAACCCACAGCTTGGCTGGCATCTTGCAGCACGGCAAGTTGCCTTGGTAGGTCTCGGACCGAGGAGAGACGTTTTTGGAAGATCGAGCTGAAGACGGTCGAACAGACGGCCAAGCCCAGCAGGGAGCCTACGAAACGCGCTGTGACAAGCATTCCGGCGGCACGTCCCTCGTCATCGACCCTTCTCACGCTCGCCAGGACGGTTATCATGGTTGCCATGAGAGCCGTGCCAAGACCAGCACCGAGGAGAGCTTGGAAGGCATAAGTTTGCGCTCTGCTGGTATCGGCGCCCACCATGTAGTTCAGGCCCAGGAATATCGTCGTAAGGCTCCAGCCTGCCCACAACGCAATGCGATACTTTCGATTCCAATCTATCAGCATCGACACAATGATGCTCATCGCCACGACGAGGCAGCAGAGTGGTAGAGTCGACTTGGCGGCTTCGATAGGAGTTTCGAGGTAGACCGCCTGGAAGAAGAGCGGGAGATAGAGGAGTGCGGGGTTCAGCAATGCGCCGTAGAGTAATCCGGACACAGTCCCTGTGATGATGGAGACGTTGTCGAAAATTTGATACGGAATCATGGGCACGGCCGCCCTCTTCTCAACAAACCCAAACGGAACGAGGAGCAAGAGTCCAACACCGAGCGGAACAAGAGTCTGCCAAGATCCCCAAGCATACAGCGTGTTGGCCCAGCTCAGCGGCAGCGCTACAGTAGTACCAATGACGGTGAAGAGGGCAAATCCAGACCAGTCAAGCGTTCTCACCTTGTGTTTGATGCCACCCTCGATGGGCGTCAGGTGAAGAAAGAAGAATGCCAGCACACCAGTGATGCCTACTGTGACGAGATTAATCCAGCCAAGCCATGGCCACCCAGCCTGCTGGGCAAATGCACCTCCAATAAACGGTCCGGTTACCGCTCCCACCGCATTCGCCATGGACATGACGCCCAGCCAGCGCGGTCGCTCCTTTAGGGTTGTGATGTCGCAGAGGATGATGGTCTGTAAGACGTCTAGCCCGCCAGCACCGAGACCTTTGATCAGCCGGCCGGCGACGACAATTTTCATATTTGTTGCCGTAGCGAAGACGATTGATCCGATGCCGAAGAGGATAATGGAGGTGTAGAGAGCGTATTTGCGGCCCACCACGTCCGAGATGCTGGCATAGATGGGCTGAGTGACGGCAATGCCGAGGATGAAGGCTATGCTTGCCCAAAATGATTGGAAGTTTGTCCCATGTAGCTGGTCGGCAATGACCTGCGCGATTTCGTCGTCAGTCAGCCGTGGCCGTCGCTAATGCTACTGCTTGGTGAGAGACTTACAGGTAATGCCAGAGACAGAGCTGTCACATCCCAGGACACGATTATAGCAATCATAGCCAGCATCAGCATTGACAAGTAGAAGGAATAATGCTTTCTTTCTCGCGGCTTTGTGCCACCGTCGGCTTGTGTCACATTTGCATCCGGCTCCGCCTGCGACGCAGGACGATCATTGCCATTTCTTTCCACGCCTTTTTCCATCCTAGAGTCCAAGATCGCAGAAACCAAAGACTGTGATTCGTGATTCGGAAGCAGAGCCGGAGGGGGAGAGGGGGGGATGTAGATCGAAAGCAAAAAATGGAGAGAGAATTCAGCAGTTAGGCACTCTCACGGACAGGGGATCCTGGTCGTCCTGTGCCCCTTCGCTATCAGTCCCGTGATCTAACTCACGTCGGTACAATAGGTCAACGCCGCGCTAGGACAAATATTATAGATTTATACTCCGTATGGATCCTAAAGTACGGATAGCATATCATATGTCACTGCCCACACGGCGAGGTTAGGCAGGGGCTCCAATTGGCTCCCTTCGTCGGCCCCGCTACATGCTGGGCGTGCCTAGAATGCTTTAGTGCTCACTGTTGGTTGCATTGGTGCATATGCTCACTGTTGTGTGGTTGCATTTTGATGTGCTTACGGATAACTACTACGCTGGATGAATGGGCTTCATCTCTCGAATAGCCAAGAGGCATACCTACTTGTCGACCGAGCAGACCTGCACCTTCACGTGGTAGTCGATGTGAGTACTGCACTGCAGGAAACCAACCTTGGAAGACAGTTTGCGCCCTGTGATGGCGGAAAAGCACACCGGGAGGATGTCGCTCTTCCCGGTCTAGGAGCAAGGAAACTGGTGGCCCATGATCAAAGACCAGGCCTATGACAATGCTAGCATGCTGAGGGTAACGGTATCAACAGGCCCCTGGAGGCCGCTATTTAGTGCGCACAATGGTCATCACTCCAGTTTCTTACAAACATCCTGACGGCAAGACCCCTGCCCAAAAAAATTGGCTTGCCTTCTAACGGAGGACCCAGCATAATACTGTAGAAACACAAAAGGACATGGAGATCTCCAGGTCCACAATTACTGTCCACCTTAAGCGCGCACACCTCGTACAGAGTACCGAAAGCAACTTCGACTTCGGTCCCATCTCACTACCTGCACCGTCTACAGTAACTAAGCATAATCTCATAGTAAAGCCAAATCAATGTCAGCTAATTGCTAAGACCCGTGGCATACCAACACCCTTGGCCTTACCCATGAAACAGGGGCTTCTGGGGTCGCCCGGCTCCCCACAACTTCACAATGCATTTCTGCAACAGTATGTATACGTGCTCGAGGCTCGAAAACTCGCCCTTGGTATGAGCTTTTGCCACCAACCAGACGACAAACCCAGACGCTGCTCAGAGATAGTAGCACGCGCTGTACGTCATCTGTGCCTATACACGGACAATACATGGCCATTTATCAGCCTGCATGTGGATGAATGCGACACTGAGAATGACAAGAGTTTCTTACACAGCCAAGAACGATGATTACAGGTCGATAGGGCAAGGCAGCATTGTCCATTCCCAGTCACAATTGGCTATTACTTTCGCTTGAGAGATTCAGACCATAATGATCGATCACTCCAACGGGACCAATGGGTCTACGAATCACGTTGACCAAGACGATGTGACCCAATCAAACGGGGCCACAAGCACGGCAAACACTCACACGAATGGCACGAACGGTGTGAATGGGGTCAATGGTCTCTACACAAATGGTCACAGTGTCAACGACTCGAACGGGTCAAACGGTCACCATGATGCCAACAAGACAAACGGAACCGGCCATCACAAGGACACGACAACTCACAAAAACGGCATCGAATTCCCCCCAAGCACCCCAAGGCCCTTCCAGCCCGTTGCCATCTGCGGCATGGCATGTCGATTACCCGGAGGCATCCACTCACCCTCGGAGCTGTGGTCTTTTCTCCACGCCGGCCGGGACGCTCGCGGTCCTGTGCCGTCCTCTCGCTACAACATCTCGGCCTACCATTCACCGGATAAGAAGCCCGGCAGCGTCATTGCCCGGCAGGGGTACTTTCTCGATTCTACCAACGACCTAGCCGCGCTGGATACGTCCTTCTTCTCCATGCCCCGCAGCGAAGTCGAGACGCTTGACCCCCAGCAGCGCTTACTTCTCGAGGTCGCCCGGGAGGCCCTCGATGATTCGGGCGAGACGGGCTGGAAGGGTTCAAACATCGGCGTGTACGTTGGCAGCTACGGCTAGGACTGGTACGATGTCTCGGTCCGCGATACAGAGGCCCATGGCATCTACGGAGTCCTGGGCCCACACGACTTCATGGTCTCTAACCGCCTCTCCCACGAGCTAGACCTGCACGGCCCTAGTGTGACGGTGCGGACAGCGTGCTCTGCTTCTCTCATCGGCATCAAGGAGGCATGCATGGCCATGGTGCGGGGCGACTGCACATCCGCCATTGTTGGTGGCTCCAACATCATCATGGCCCCGTCCTTGACCGCCGTAAAGTCGGAGCAAGGCGTTCTTAGCCCCGATGGCTCCTGCAACACCTTTTCCGCCAAGGCAACGGCTACGCGCGCGGCGAGGGTATCGTTGCACTCTACCTGAAGCCCTTGGCGGACGCGATTCGGGACGGCAACCCTGTCCGCGCCGTCGTGACCGGCACGGCGGCCAACCACAACGGCCACTCACCAAACGTTTCACAACCCAGTTCGCGGGCGCAAGAAGCGCTCATCAGGCAAGCCTACCGGAACGCTGGCATCACCGACATTGCTAGAATAGGCTTCTTCGAGTGCCACGGTACGGGGACAAGAAAGGGTGACCCCATTGAAACGGCGGCCGTGTCTGCATGCTTCGGCAAAGCCGGTGTGCATATTGGCTCGGTCAAGGCCAATCTCGGCCACGCAGAAGGCGCGGCTGGCCTTGTGAGCGTTCTCAAGGCCGTCCTTGCTTTGGGGAACCGCACGATTCCCCCGAACATTAAGTCCCTTCCACGCAACCCTGCTATCTCATTCGAGGACGCGAATCTCATCGTTCCTACTGAACCAACACCATGGCCTGAAGATCGTGACGAGCGCGTTAGCATCAATAGCTTCGGTCTTGGTGGTTCTAATGCCCACGCCATCATCGAGTCAGCCGCCAGTTTCAATTCGACACGCAAGCCCGGGACCAGTCGAGCAGCGGCAAATACAACTCATCTGCTGCTCTTCTCTGCCAATACCCCAGCATCTCTTAAGGCTATGGGCAAGAAGTACGAGGCTTTCCTGAACAAGACCCTAGAACTGCTGCCAGATGTGGCATACACCCTTGCGAATAGGCGGGAGCATCTGCCGCATCGCGCATTTGCCGTCTGCATGAGTGACAAAATTACGGTGGACGCTCCCGCTCCCTCGACTAAAGCCTAGAACTATGAAACGTCCCTGACGATGGTCTTCACCGGCCAGGGCGCACAGTGGGCACGCATGGGCTACGAGCTCCTCCGCTCCAAGACCAATCCGGTCTTTAGCAATACCATCGCGTCCCTCGACAAGGCACTCCAAGAGCTAGGCCCGCTGGCTCCGTCATGGACAATTGACGAAGAGCTCCGCAAATCTGCACGGAAGAGTCGTGTTGACGAAGCCGAGTTCTCCTAGCCTGTGTGCACAGCCCTGTAGATCGCCTTGGTCGACATATACGCTTCCGTTGGCATCCGCCCGGCCGCCGTGCTTGGCCACTCCAGCGGCGAGATTGCTGCCGCATACGCCGCGGGCGGCCTCAGCGCCCGCGAGGCCATCATTGTGGCTTTCCTACGTGGCCTGGCCACGACGCGGCAGAGTCGCAAGGGCGCCATGGGAGCTTTGAGCATGAGTTGGGAGGCTGCCGAGAAGCATCTCGTCCCCGGTGTGGTGCTCGCCTGCGACAACGCGCCAAAAAGTGTGACAATATCTGGAGATGCTGGTCCGGTAGAAGAAATGGTCAAGAGGATCAAGCAGTCGGGCTCTGGCGTCCTCACCACTGTGCTCAAGGTCGAGAAAGCCTATCACTCGCCACATATGGCAGAAATCGGGGGCGAATACTACGCGAGCATGACCGATGCTGGCGTCGTGGGCAACGTGCACACTCTTCCGTTTTTCTCAAGCGTTTCAGGCGAGTTCTTTGCCCCTGCCGCGAAGAGTAGATTTGGACCCATATACTGGCAGACCAACTTGGAACGCCCCGTGTTATTCACGTTAGTCGTACGCTCCGCTATTCAACAGCACGTTGGCCCCTCCAAGCAGGTTTTCCTGGAAGTTGGTCCTCATGCGGCCCTGGCCGGACCCCTTCGTCAGATTCTCACCCACAACTCCAGCAGTGCATCATACGTTTCGACTCTGTCCCGACGAATTGACAGTGCCGAAAGCTGGCTGTCCGCTCTTGGTCAACTCTTTACCTAGCATGTATCCTTTAATCTTCAGGCTTTGATGCCGGCTGGCAACACCCTCTCCGATCTGCCCCCGTACCCATGGGATCATCATCGCAGCTATTGGAGTGAATCCCGCATCGCCAACGAGTGGCGCATGCGTAAACATGCACACCATGACCTCCTGGGCGCAAAGGTCCCCGACACCACAGACCTCGAGCCGGTGTGGCGGAACTTGCTGCACATTGAGAATGCTCCGTGGATACGTGACCATAAGATCAACGCGGATATCATCTTCCCCTTTGCCGGATATATCGCTATGGCAGCTGAGGCTATCCGTTAGATTACGAGCGTCGAAGAAGCGGTTGCGTTTCGAAATGTGGCCGCGCGCACCGCGTTAGTGATCAACGAGGGCTCGCCTAAAGAGCTTGTAACCACTTTCCATCGGCTCCGTCTGACAGATTCGCTGGACAGCGAATGGTGGGAGTTCAGCATTGCATCACACAACGGACACGCCTGGACAAAACACTGCTCCGGCGAGGTTCGGGCTCAGGACGAAACAGACGACGTGCCTCATCGCGTGGCTGCGCAAGAGGATTTGCCGCGCAAAGCATCCAGCAAGCGTTGGTACGATACCATGCGCCGTCAGGGCCTCGACTACGGCTACCATTTTGAGAGTCTTGAAGCCATCACGACGACAACGACTGGCGCACGAGGTGCCCGCTCGCATGTCCGCAACAATTAGCATAGAGACGAGCAATTCTACCACCTTTTACATTAGATTCCTACTTCCAACTTCTTATTATTGCCGCTCGGTACGGACTCACGCACGACTACCACTAAGTTATTCCCGCCAGCGTGGGTTCGTTGTAGACTTTAAAAGTAGGCGCCCGTGGCTACCTATAGGTAAATTTTTAGTCTAGTCTATCGGTAGAAATAGGTTTTAAGATAAAAGACTATATTTACCTACGGGTTATTAATATATACTTTAGGTAAAGCTAGGTACCTAGACTAGCTTAAAATAACTTAGTAGATTCTTATTCGAAGTTACTATTAGTTAAGCGAATTTATAGAAATTAGAGAACTAAAAGTCTAGTACTAATTAATTATATTAATTATCTCCTTATCTCTAACTTAGAGCTAGGATATTTTTAGCCTCTTTTACTCCTAACTTTCTACCCTTATACTTCCCGCCGGCTAGGATAAGCTTAAGCTTATCTATAGTTATTATAAGCTCTCCTATACCTAACGATTATAGTAATTCTTTAAATATTTTATCCTTATTAGCCTTATTATTTAAAGGGACTTTATAGGTCTTTTTAATTATTTAAGGCTATTTATAGTTAGAATTATCTTTATTTTTACTCCTCTTACTATTAATCTCTATAGTAGTAGTTTTCTTCTTTCGCTATACATTTAATTATTATTATTCTTTTAACTACTTTTACTTTTTATTAAAATTATCTCTTTAAGCTTAAACTTTATAAGTACGTGCTTCTTTAATCTTTATTAGTCGCGTGCTTTATAAAAGCTTTTATTTTTAACTCTTAATAAATTAAAAAAGTTATACTAAGAGGTAGAACTATATATTAAAGGAAAAAGGTTAGTATAAACGATTAATATAATAACTTTTAATAAAGTATATATACTAGCTTTATTTTAGACTAAGAAATATTAGTCTTATTTCTTAAAGATATTAATAATATACTTAAAAGTAGTAATATCTTTCTACTAAATTATTACTCTTTTAGCCGTAATAGCTAGCTATCTTATTACTATTTATAGTCGCTAGTTAGTATAATAATTAATATAATAATTATATTAACTTACCTTATATTAAGGGCTAGTATATACTTAGTATAATAGTATAAGGCCGAATAATTATTTATTTAAAGCTAAGGAGAAAAGCGGAAAACTCTATCTTAGTCGCGATAGTTATTTATCTTTCCTAGTCCCTAGCTTAACTTATATTTAAGTGCTATTTAGCTTAAGTTTTAGTTAAGCTCTACTTATATATAGGTCTACTTCGGCCTAACTTTAGTACGGTCGCTATAGTATAACCTTAGCTTTTTATAGGCAAAGCCTATAATACTACCCCCGCTCCCCCCCTCTTATTAATAGTGCTCTTATTCCTCTCTTACTACCTTTCCGTTATCGCTATCCCCCTTTTCCTTAGCGCGCGCGGTCGCTTCCTTCTACCTTACGCTCGCCCTATCCCTCTATATACCCCCTTTTCGTACGCCTATTCCGCCCTATTCTTCCCTCCTCTACGTATATACCCCTATACCTTACTAACTATATATATACCCCGCCGCGTATAAATACCCCTCTTCTTTCCCCTCTCTTTCTTCCTTTCTTTTTCCTCCTTTAAGCTTTACTCCCTCTATGCGCGCGCCCTTACTCTACCTAACTTTTATCGCCGCGCCGCGCTATATTATAACTACTATAGGCCCTCGCACGCCCGCTAGCTTCTTTACTCCGCGTAGCGGCGCCCCGCCTCTTAGTACGTTAAACGACTATACTCTACCGCCCTCGCGCTAGTTAACGCGTCTACCTATATCTCCTAGTAAGCGTAGCGCGACCTATAGCACTACTATATAGCGGCTACCTTATCTCGCCTATATAGGCCGAATAACGTTACTAAGCGTTAAGATATAGTATAGTACTTACTAGAATTAAGCGTCGCTATATACTTATAACTACTTTACCTATACTTATATTAAATTATACTACCTTTTTATTTATTACTTTCCTTTAACTTTATTTAATAGGACGTTAATATAATAATAGTATACTAGGGATATAATCGCTACTATTAACGCCCTCTAAGACTATATATCTTAAAGGATATTTAATAACTACTAAAGCGACCCTTATATATATACTTTATTTCCCTTTTAACCTTATCTTACTATTTATCTCTAGCTATTATTTTAGTATACTAAGCTTACCTATACTATTATATTTACGCGCTAGGTATAAATATACTATAATATCTTAAAGTAATTAAGCTATAGTTAAGGGGCGTCTATAGTTAGTTAAAATTAAGTTAGTATCTTTAGTATATCTTACTATATTTATATCTTATCTTATTATATCTTACCTTTATCCCTATCCTTATCTATCCTCTATCGCTATTTATCTTATATCTATCCCTTATTTATCTTTTATTATTTCCCTTTAATACTATAGTTCTTTTCTATCCTTTCTTTATTTCTTAATAAGCGTTCCCTAGCTCCTACCTCCTTTTCTTTCTCCCTCTTCTATCTTTTATTTCCCCTTCCTTATCTTCCGCCCTCCTCTTAGTCCCTTTTTATAAGGGAATACGTATTATAGTATAATTAGTTAGGTAGTAAAGATAGCTATATATATTATATTCTCCTTATTATAAGACTAAAGCTTATAAGAAGAGGGATTTTTCCTCTTTTATTAAAATAGTAAGTAGTCTATAATATATAAGTAGGGTAGGCACGATTCCCTACTAATACCCTACCGATATATTAGTACTATATACCTAAGTGCTTTATTAGCCCGTACCTCTTAATAGCGCTCTTATACTTATCTCCCCTCCTATATTAACGTCTTAGCTATATCTTTAATATATATTACTTTCGCTATACTATATATATTTAGTTAGAAAGAGAGGTAGTTTTAGTTATATATCGCGCGTATACGCCTATATAAGTATACGTTAGTCTATACTTTATAATATTAATAGTTATTATACTAATAGTTACTATTAAGTAACCGTTATAGTATCTCCTATATATCGGCCGCGTAACTATAATATAAAGAGCGTATATATATATCTCCTACTTCTTTTATTTTCTTTTCTTTTTTAACTCTTCTACTTATAATTACTATAGAGTTTTATACCTTTTTTTATTAATCCCTTATACCTTTTTATATTACTTTTTATTAACGATTTATTAATAATAATACTTTTTATATTAAATAAAATAAAGAACTATAATACTAATTTCCTACGCTATATATAGGAGTAGGTAGTAGCGGGTTCGCCCTTAAAGTATAAGCGATTAGCTTAGAAGTCTTATAGCGATATTAGTTCCCTTTTAGTAAAGAAAGCTAAGAAAGGTATAAGGGAATCTTAGTCCTAGGAGACTTTTAGTCTAGGACCTAACGTTAGCGAGGGTTATACCCTTATTACCCTACTAAATACCTTAACTCTAAGTATTAATAAGCCTACCTCTATAAGCTAGGAAACTTATAAGTCTATTACCCTTATTAGCGATATTAATATTAGCGAGGAGATCGTGCTTAGGCGCTCCTAGGTAAGTGCCGATAACCTAGCTACTCCGTCTCGATAGGGCGGCTCTAGCTAATAAGAGATTATCGCCTAGGCCGCTCCTTAAAATAAGTAAGCCGATATTAATAACGAGGCCTAGCTAAATAAGGGCTAAGATAACGATAATAGTAATAATAAAAACAGCCGCGATCTAACTTCTTTTATTAATAAACCTAAGAATAGTAGCGCTAAAAATAAGGGTACCTAAGTAGCGGTATAAGGCGGTTACGCTCCTATAAAAAAGCATACTTAATCTAAGGCTAAAGCCCGCTTAGTTAAGGCTTAGGGGGTTATCCCTTATAAGCTTTAGTATATATATTACTTTAGGACGGTAGTTAAGGAGTATAGTATAACTAAGCCTAAGCTTATTAAAGTACTCTTAATTAGCTATATTTTCTTAGGGGTTTCCTTAACGTATTATAAGTAGTACTATAGATATACCGCGACCTATAACTAAGTAAGTTTCCCCTTAACTTTAAATATTATAATTAATAAGCTAATCCTTCTTAAGGCCGCTACTCTTAATTTAGTAACCGGGCTAATATAGTCGCTATTATTAAGTACCTATATAAGCTTAATAAGCTAAAGACCGGTAATAAGGATACTAAGGATAATAGCTTAAACGTAAGTATACTTATTTTCGAGGAAGCTAATCGGCGCCGTCTTACTATTATAGTATAGTATTTAGCTAAGGCTTTCGACGCTACTAAGACGGCTTATTATAAGTCTTTTAAGACTATAAGTATATAAAAGTCTACTATTATAAGTTTTATCTAACCTTTTTATTAGCGACCGCTTAATAATATACTAAGTTAAGCGTACTAACTACTATATACTAATTAATAAGCGCTATAAGCTTATTATTCGCCTTAACCCCGCGCTCTTATTCGATATCGCCTATATAAGCCTAGAGTACTAGGCCTAGGAATCTTAGTTAAAACTCTACTTTATTAATAGTAATATAGGCTATACTTCGTAGTAATATACCTTACTATTTACTAAGGCTAAGGTAAGTACTATACTAATAAAGATAGGTCTTAATATAGAGGATAAGGAAAGAGTAAAGGATAGGGTAGTTTTAGTATTTCTAGAAGTATTTAGTATAGTAAAGGGGGCGCCTTAGTTAGTTCCCGCTATACTAGTAAAAAAAAGGGTAGTTTAAAGTAATAAATAGGTCTTATCTTTCTTTTATTTAGTTATAACTATAAGGGCTTTTACCTTATATAGGCCTAGACTAAGGTCTAGGCTAAGTCTATATATAAGCGGCCTCCGCGCCTATTTAGGCTAGGCCTATACTTCTCTTTCTTTTCCCCTTTATAGATTATTAACCTTCTTTTAACGGACCGTACCTAAGCCTATACCTCTACCTACTCTATAATAGTATAATCTACCCTTTATTTTACTCTCTTTATATCCCTATATATAGAATAGCTATTTTT